GTATCTCTTTCCTAGCATGGGAAGCATTAAATTAAACAGAATATGTTTCGTTCGTAATTTGTTTTACCACCCCTTCCCAGCTGTAAATATTATGAAGCTCAGGATGTGTTTCGATGGCGATTTTGAGTCACTGATTGAGAAGGGTTTCAATGGATGCGGAAGTGGTCTATTTAAAGATTTGGCCCAGCGTTTTTTTGGCGGTACTGAGAAAACCAGCTGGAACTGACTTGTTCCGAACCTCCGGAGTGCAAAACATTGATGCCAACTGCAACACCGGAACATTACTCCCGTAGATGAATGGATTTTCAGAACATTTATTGTTAGTAAATCTTATTAAAGTGGTCAGATATTCAGACTACTGGCTGAGCGACCAAGGTGTGGTCCTGCAGGGTAGGAGCAGGGAATTTGTTCACCACCACCACTACCACCCGGCCTACTCCTGTTCAGGGGTTCGTGGTGATTCTTTAACCCAGCGGTAAAACCGCTTACCACTCACACCCATTTGTTGCTCAGACAGAGTTGAGTGAGGATGAATGGAGCTTTATTTCTGCTGCCCCATACATCTTCATGTTGTGGTTTGTATTTACATTTACGTTTTTCTTTACCCGTACATATTGTCTCGACTTACGGGTTGTGACTATAGACGGGGTCTGGATTGGTTATTGGATTTATTGACGACTTGTATACACACCATTTGGAACTGTGCTTTACAGATAAGTGACACAGACTAGTGTCCTCAGTATATTAGTCTCCATTAGCCGTTTTCTGATAACGGGTTTTAACAATGGAGATTCTTCAGCTTCCGTGGTCACGCCATTGGCCGCTGGTTAAGACTCCGCACCTGAACTCATAGCGCCAGCTTCTCAGCCTGTCTTTCAGAGCCCAACTCTCGACTAACTGCTCACTTGGAACTCCGGAACTCGACTGCCGATTCTCAACAGAACTCTTCTTTATAACCACTTTGCACGGACCGAATAGGAAACAATGCCCCTATTGTTGTAGTCGTGTTTACCGATCCGTTGCTTAGCAGTAGCTGGGTTTTCATTTCCGCGGGAAAGTGTTTGCCTTGCCGTTACCAATCAACATATTTTCCTTCTCGCGATCGTTGCATAGCAACGGTACTACAGGTTACAATATTCCTCTAAACACAAATTTAGAGCCCATTCATTATGTTTTTGAAGAAATACTTGTAGATTTAGGAATACAGTTAAACTGGCCCGCTTTTCTGTATCCCTTGCAAATCATCATTTCACCGGCGTCCCATTTCCGTAATTTCTGTTGAGATGAAGACAGGCTTCGCCAGCCGGCATATTGTCGCACCTTTCCCGTAGTCGATACTTCGCCTCTGGCTCGGCACTTCACTATGAATGCGTAATATATTACAGTGCTAAGATTTTAAAACGTCGCCTGTTTCTCTAATTTTACGGGTTGTCTGGTCCCGTGACACAGCAACAGCAGCGAACAGCGAACAGTCTCCCCCACCGTGTGACCCAGGGCTGGAGGAACATTACATAGCTACACAGTAATAATTCTGAAAGTCGCTGAAATCGACGAGTTCTGACTCACAGGTGACTAGAGAAAATTCTCAGATGGCCGCATCCGACTCACTGACCGCTATTCTTCAACACTTGATCTAATTAGAAAGTGTCATAAATTGCAAGCACAGCACAGAATTTACCGGTATTTATAAGGAAGCAGAGATGTGATATTATATTACTTCAACACCACCAGATGCAATGCAGTTTTATTACTATAAGAGTAGATACGAAGAGGAAATAACACCGTGTAGCCCAGTGAAAGCCAGCCGTCGTTTCGGAGAAACATGTCGCCTCCATCTACAGTACCGATCATTAAGCTAAGTAAAAAACGAACGAGAAGCAGGCAGCGAAGTGTTCCTCCGAAACATCGGCTAACTTACCAGACGATAGAATTTTTAATAACCATCGCTGTAAGAACCTAAGATCCTGTGAAAGTAGATATGCCTGTATTTTCAACAACTTTATATTGTGACATGACGCCCGAAAGCCGGAATAGTAGAGCCAGAGCGGAAGCCCATTGCTGGGCAACGGTTCGGTAAGCACGTTGCCGTGGCAACAGATAAACACGGAAAAAGAGAATAACAGAGGAGCTGTAAGACGTGGTGAGTTATATTCGGCTCGCCCCGAAGTTATAAAAGATTATTTTGTTTATTGCTAGTGGGGTGGGACTAAGTCCCTTGTACTGCGGCCACTTCTGGCCTATTGTACCAGCCCAAGATGATAGGTGAGGGTGATTGTGGAGCAGTTTGTTGAATGAATATTGACAGGGGAAACCGAAGTACTCGGAGAAAACCTGCCCCAGCGCCACTTCGTCCACCACAAATCCCACTTGATCAGACCCGGGATCGAACCCGGGCCGCCGCGGTTGGAAGCCAGCGACTAACCGCTTGAGCTATGGCGCTGTAAAACAGTTAGTTCAGTTCATTCGTGAGAGTGAACAGTGATCAGTGGCCGGATTCTTGCTCCGGCCGGCTGTATATTTGGCGAAATAGTTGTTTTTTCTCATTGACGTAGAAGGCAGAGTGAGCCATTGAGCCGGTGTCGAAGAGAAGGCGAATAAAAAAAGTCACCTCTTACCGGAAATCGAACCCAGGCCGCATTCTTTAGTATAGATTTCATTAACAGTAGTGTAATAACTGCGTTTGTTGAAGTATGCCGTACGCTCGTATATCAGTCGCGTTGAAAAGTAAATAAATTTTAACACACCCGGTCAGGCCGGTTTTGTGACTCTGCCATATGATCACGAACACTGAAATAGCGTAACGAACGATAAGACAGTTTTATTTCTCCGAGTTTAGATCACGCGATTTTACTCTTGGTTTACAATTCCGTGGCAGACCTACACGTTCTTCCTTGAACTTAGTAATTACTCAGCTGGTCAAGAAATTATCCGCTTTTATGGATCCGTCTCGTTCATCACCGTATCGACATCCAGAACTCTCGGCTGGATTATTACCTTTAGGCTTTCAAACTGGAATGTTATATGCATTTGTCGTTTCTTAGGAGCGTGCTACATGTCCCTTCCAGCACATCCTTCATGATTTAATCGGCCTAACAGTGTTGTCTGAAGAACAGTTATGCACTCCCTCTCCTATGCTTTTGTACTCAGTATCTTTGCCAGCTGTTCACACCACCTTTAATCCACAGTCTTCCCTTCGTACAGAAGCCGGGATAGCTCAGTCGGTATAGCGACTAGAGGCTGGACGGCAGAGCAGTCGGGATTCGATTCTCCGTGCAGACAAGAGATTTTACTGTTCACAGCTTCCATATCGGCTCTGGGGGCCCACCCAGCCTCATATCCCGTGAGTACTGAGGGTAAAGCGGCCGGGGCGTGAAGCTGACCACTCAGCTCCATCTAGTGCCGACTTTGAGAATGGTGGACTTAAATCTCCACTCCACCATACGCCTTCATGGCTTGGTGCTTAAAGCCCAGAGATAACTTTACCTTTACTTTCCTTTATTGTGAGAGGCTAAGTTTATGGAGACCATTAGATAAAATTGCAGTTTTGTGTAAGGGTAGGACAAGGGCGCTAAATCGTCAGTCTTGGTATAAGGAAATCTTTAAATTTCCCCTGTACCTCCAACAAACGTAAAAAGAACAGCGATGAGTTTGGGAGAGTCGTTATTCTCACGATACTATTAAAATGGCGATGAAACACCGTGTAAATTTGGAGATGAGTACCATTGTCGCCTTGAAGTTCGGCAAATGGGTACCCATAAGGCGTCACATTCCGGAAAACAGTAATTGAAAGGTAAGTTTGTTTATCGTGCATTTTATGCATTCCCGAAATACCCTATTTTAAATTTACGTTCCTCAGTTAAGGTGTTATAAATGAGACCTTAATAGACTACGTAGAAAATGTAATATTAATTTAAATTGATGCCTAATATTTTAAAATTTCCTTATAGACCAGTAGAGGAGAGAACCTACGGTCTCTCTGTCACTCTCGCTCTCTATTTCCAACCTCCCCCCCACCCACGGCCTCCTGCCGCCCCGCATTGAGGTTGATTACAGCTGAAGTCAGTCTGTCAGTAGGCCGGCAGCCGCCGTGGGCTTGAATGTTGGGTTGTCGGTGCAGGCCAGGCCAGTCCAGACAGCTCTCACTTTCCACACTGTAGGGCTAGTGGCTGTTCGTGTGGTAGCGTGTGTCTGTGTGTGGTGTGTGTCGTACTACACAGTTGGCAGACTTCATATCTACATCTCTTAGTATGCAGTTCAAGGTTAATTATATATTTTTGTTTCATTTGCAACACTGATATCTTATTAACTTGCGCCTTGAAGAGAAGTATTTAACCGTCCTTGTCGTGTTATAACAACTTTATAAAATATAGTGGATTTAGAGTTCCTACTTGATTTGAGTATAGTAAAATATTTCAGTGAATATTATTTCATAATATTTGGCGCAGTATTATCATGTGATCTCTCAGACGGGTTTACATCACACGCAGGATAAACTACGAACGTGATACAACGCTCTCGTAAAAATCATGATCGTTTTTGAAGTGTTATGTGTTTTTGAACAGTTATTGTTTCTATCAAAATCTTCAGCCGCTTAAGAACTTTTACTTTTCAAGGAAGCAAGAACGGTGAAGGTGTTTAATGTGTATAAACCATAGATTTGTTCCAAGTAGTTAGAGGTATTCGAAAGAAGAAGAAAACGTGTTTGTCATTTCTATGGGAAGTCGAAACCAGACAGAAGGAAGTAGCAGTTTTAAACTATTGTTTGCCTGAAAGTAATTTCACTGTATGGGATTATTTAAAATATATTTCTAAGTACGAAACAATTTCATCAGTTATCTGTGTCAACTGAAGACAGATGTTGAAAATCTTGAGCTTTTTGGATTAATTCCGGACTAGTTCCGCGTATGACGAGGCTGCTACTAAAATCTGACTGTAGGATTTGTGTGCCCTATTTAACTCCTCCGTCGCAATGGACTACCATCAACACAATGTGCCTGCAGGCCCGCCTCTGGTGGCCGTACCTGCGCCCAGTCATCCCTTGACACACCATCAGCTGCACCAGTTGCAGACCCTGGTTCAGGCGGAAGACTCAACTTCCACCCGATGGAGCCAGTACCAACAGCTTTGGAGGCATCACCACATGCAACACATCAATGGTAGGCAGACACGTGTGTCCTTGTATGTTTAGCTTCTGTCTGATACCCTTGGTCAGGGGCATCATTTTGGTGGTCACGTTACACAGTCCTCCTTTCCTTGAACCCTGCTTACTGGATTAAGGACTAAGGACTGATCGCTCTATGTCAGTGTTTAATGGGTATAACTTGATAAAATTGCAACGCATTGGTGACAGTGTTTGTCAACCAGTGAGACGTATACTGAGATACGTTTCTGTACCATGATACTTGGTTTTCCTTGGGACGTTGACAGTTAATTAGCTAATCAAGCAATTTCTCGCCTTTTATACAATCCTAAGAACCATCATGTGTTCACGGATGTGTCTGTTGAGACATGTCACCGCCAGATGAGATCACTGTAACTCATTGCAGCCAGATTCTCAGAAATAAATGGTAATTATTTATCTTCCGTTTACACATCTGTCTCCTAAGTAGTCTTTTCCCTTGCAGTGCGTTTCCTTAGGAAATTGTGTGGCTGTGATTCATATTTGTTGTTTAGACATGTTCTGTTATTGGCCTGTGGTGTTGTGAGAGGCACACAAAATTTTAATCGGGAAAACTTAAGGGGGAGACCATTTTTTGGACGTAGGCTTGTGTGGGAGGATGGTATTAAAATGCATTTTTAAGAAGTATGGTGTGAGGCTGTGATTGGTTTCACCTGGTTCAGGATCGTGTTCAGTGGCGGTCTCCTGTGAACGCAGTAATGAACGTTAGAGTTTCATAAATGGCGGGGAATTTTTGACCAGCTGAGCGACTGTCAGCTCCTTTAGAACATATAACACATCTTTGTGCGTAACTGTGAAAGATAAAAATGTAATATAATTCACTCTTTTAAGGTATGAAAGGGTTAAAGAAGAGGAAGGAAGGAGGAGGTGAATGATGACGTTACGAAACAAATTATTCCCCGCCGAATTTCAACAAATTTCCCCACTAGCATAAAATATCTTCTGAGAGTTCGTCTGGTGGCGCGGAGGAAGTTGGCTGATTCGGAATACGAGGCGGTGGGTTTCTCTTGTCCAGTTGATTTCTTACACTTTCCAAACCACATCGCTGATGTTCTTCTGTTACGTAAGCCTATGGACATTTGTTATTGCAAATATAAAGCCGTTGCAAAGAGAATCATACGCTAGATGCAGCGCTGCTTAGAGTCTGACTTTATTTCACCATGAGAGCCGTTGGAGTAGTTAACCATACCGAAGAATTGTTTAAATTAAAGCCATAGATCTTAAGACGACATGTATTTTATTTTATGTACTAGTTTTGTTTGGTGCACGCGGCAGCGTAGTTGGTTGAGGCAATACGCTACAAGCCTCAAGGTCTCTGGTTCGATTCCCGATGAGTTTGGATTTTTCAGTGACCTGATCCTTCCAGCCGAACTATGGCCCTGGGGTCGACTCATCCTCTAACATTTTTCATGAACAGTGCGTAAACATGGAAGAATGCGCAAATATGAAATATAAAAAGATCCGAGATAGCTCAGTCGTAATAGCAACTGGGCTGGATGACAAACGAATTCGATTCCCAGCAAGAGGAGGAATTTATTTTCTCCTCCATAGTTTCCATATCAACTCTGGAACCAGTCTTCTCTTATTTCCATGAGCTATTTGACGTCGCTGTCAATATCTAGACAGTGGAATGGTCCAGATATATGATAAATAATAAATTATATATTGGAAAACATTTGGTCTTAGCCTAATTGAGGTATTGCCCTGGAATTTGCCTAGACGGAATGGAGAACACTACGACAAAACCGTCAGGATAGTTGTGTGCCCCTACCAAGATTTGATCCGAACACCACAGCATGTTCGGTCCCATCCTCCTATCCGGTGTGGCCAGGTTCCTCTCCACGGAGGTTAGAACGGGGGAATGGTTTGAAGGGAACCAGTCACATTCATCTACTCCCGAGGTTAAGAATTTATGGAGCTATACCCCCACTTCCCATATATCTAAATGTCCTGATTTTCGTGAAAATTCTGTCCCTTTCTAAGTAATTAGGGACGACAAATGCTCGTGATCCCTGTGTTATGACATTAAAATAGAAATAAACGAATGCTAATTGATCGTAGTTTTAAACCAGTTCTTACTCGTCTGACAAGGTCTAATATGTACGAGGGTCAGTCAAAAAGTTCCCGGAATGGTGGTATAGCACTCTAATGGTAGGACATACGGCAACGCTTACCTAACCACCTTCAAAGTAGGACCCTTGCGCGCACACACACTTGCCCCATCGATCCTGCCATTGTTGGAAGCAGTTGTGGAAGGCCTCTTTTGGAATCTTCCAGAGCTCAGCCGTCGCATTCTATTTGGTGTCCTCCATGGTTTCGAAACGTGTCCCCTTGAAGCCCATTTTCAGAGTAGGGAACAGCCAAAAGTCACTCGGACCGAGATCAGGAGAGTACGGTGGCTGAGTGATGACAGGAATGTTTTTCTCGGCGAGGAATTGCTGCACAACAAGCGATGTGTGGCTCGGTGCGTTATCGTGATGCAGAAACCGCTGTCCCTGCCACTTGTCGCGCCGCTTCCTCCGAACCGCATCGCGCATCCTCTGCAAAACTTGCAAGTAGAAATGGCCAGTAACAGTACCAGCTTCTTGCTCCAACTCTGCGATGGTCATTCTTCGATCACATCGATCAGTTGTCGCACTTTTCCAATCACTTCTTCGGTTCTGGATGTCGAAGGTCTCCCGCTGCGCTGGTCATCCTCTAACGTCTCCTGCCCATTCTTAAACCGGGAAAACCAGTCGTAAACTGCGGATTTCTTTAGTGCAGTATCACCGTAAACTTGCTGCAGGGCCGATAGCGTCTCTGAAGCAGTTTTTCCCAATTTGCACATGAACTCGATGTTCGCACGCTGTTCGAACTGCGACATTGCGCCGAATGACCAACACTCACGTCTAATTCAAACGGAACAGTAACGACACTGCACGCTGAAACCTGTCTAGACCTGTTGCGCCTGCGAGCAGACATGCTGAGCTCCCCACCACAACAGTGTGTGCGCTATCTTATCCCTCGTTCTCCGTCTGTAGGGGAATTCCGGGAACTTTTTGACTGACCTACGTATGTACATGTACGTTCATGTGTATCACCTGTTTCTTCCCAGACGTCTACCAGTCGTCGCTATTTGAAGCGTTTTCGGAGTAACTCATTTTTCCTCTTCATACCCGAAACTGATACACGCTTGTGCGTTATGCTTCTAACCGTTTTTAGTGTCACTGAATTCACACGTAGTATAAAACCTTTGCCTCGGCTTTGATGTCTCCCAAGTTTTCTGTAGATCATTCTTAAGAAACCTTGTTCATTTTAGTACGTCTGTTTATCCGGGTGTGTGAAATTTGTTATGATGCCGGAGCGTACGTTAGAATGATGACGGCAGGATAAGTTAATGTGTACGCTATTGTGAACCACAGTAGGAACAAGGAATGAAACATGAAGGGAAAGTTGCTACCGTACTTAGTTAATTGAGCACCGCGTCTTGAAGGCATAGACAGCTTCTGTGGTCTAGTGGTCAGAGTTCCTGGCTACAGATCCAGAGGTCCGGTTTCGATTCCCGGCGCTACCAGATTTTCTGAGAAGTAGTGTGTCTGGAAAGGGGTCCACTCAGCCTCGTGATGATAATTGAGGAGCTGTTTCAAGGAAATAGCGGCTCCTGTCTAAAAAACGGAAATTCGTTGCGCTGACCACGCGACATCCTTTATCCACTAAAGTTGGCACTAACTTCGCCGATAAGCGGCGGTCACTCGGTCGGTATAGTTTGCTTGCGGACTAAAACCACGGAGTTTGTTTTGTTTTGTTTGTCTTGAAGACGTATGGGGGAATTGAGGTAAAGCCTCAAATCCATGAAGTCGGCAGTAGATGGAGCTTCAAGGATCGAGGAATACTTCAGGCAAACTTTTGACTTTGATAGACGTGAGGGAGAGAGAAGGCGTCCCCACCCCAATCCATCCAGAAGGTCTCCCATGTCCCGGAGTGTAACCGCTGCTTCTCTCACCCATTCCCATTTTACAGCTGATTGTGTTGCTCTCCGGCACGAAGAGCCAAATTAACGCCTCACCTGAGTGGCCAGCTCTCCAACTTCATATTCTTTGGGTCTCCAATATAGCACGTAATTTTCCTCAGTCTTTATAGCCAGTTGCTGGGGTGTAAAAGGTAAAAGTAAAGCTATCCCTGTACCAGGCCGTGAAGGCCCGTAGGGTTGTGAGACGTTGAGGGTCCAACATTTTCTAGACAATCGGCTCAGAGATGGCGGTAAGGTTGTCAGCCTTACGCGCCGGCCGCGCTTTACTCCCCAGGAAAATTATTTAATTAATTCCTGGTACTCATTTCTGTTAGAAGCTGAGTGAACCCCAGAGCCTAGTGCGGCTGGAAGGATTAGGTCAATTGAAAAAAATCCAATGACCTCATCGGGACTTGAACCCGCGACCTTCCGGCTTGTAGCATAGTGCCTCAACCAACTACGCTACCGCGTGCCCCCCGTTGCTGGGGTGATACCTCAAAATAGGTCACGGTCACGTCCGCATCATCCCGAATTGGTGATTTTCACCCATCATTAGATATTATACGTTCAGTGCAGCACAGTAGTAATGGTTCCCAACTAAGCGTCTTCTAGAGAGTTGTCTCAACCGGAAAAGGTAAAATGTAAAGTTCTCGCTTAATTAATTAAGCACAGTGACATGAAGACGTATGAAGGAGTGGAGGTATAGCGCCATCATTCTTGACGTCAGTAGATGAAGGTGAGTGATCAGCTTCACGTCCCGGCCGCCTTACCTTCGAGGGAAGAGCTTCCATTACAAGTTGCTCAGCTATGGTCTGTTCCAGCCTCGTGTCCCGGCCATGTGTTTCAACAAGCCGTTGTCTAGCAATGGATTCCCGCTCTGTCTGAGATATTCCAGTTTTTAGGCGGCACGTCACAATGTTGTAAAATTAATGCCATGACTCACATGCTGGGGCTGTAAAAGGCTCCGAAATCTGCACGAGCATCGGTTC